ATGCACATACTTACAACACATATCGAAAGCTTAGAGATAGTCCCGGCTGGGGAGGTGGGCAGGTGAAACACTAGTTGGGAAAATCCAACAAGCTCTATACGTAGATCGGCATCGGATCTCACCATCCAGGAAAAGATCATCGCCACCTCCCGTGACAAAACATGCACTATAATTATAGGAATAATTACCATAGCAGTTGACGTACCCGGAAACACTCTTCAATCAGAACAGGAAACTAATACGATAACGCGGAGAAATATGGCAGCGAAGTCTTACACCTATCGATATATTCATATCTATCGATAATTGAAACAGACAGCCTATGGAGGAAAATAATTCATCACTGATAGGCGTACTATTAAAGCATGTTTTATTTAATTAATTTACACCATTAATGCTGGTGAATCAGCATAAACAATATCTGATAACATCTAGGGATCACATTATAGGAAAAAGAAATACAATCTGTTCAGTAGAAACTCGAAACGATGCCACGGCAGAAAACTTTTTTTTAAATATATAGATTATATAATATAATAATTTTATCAAGAATATTTTCCCTCCCATCTCCCAGGAAATTGTGGGTCTCCCCGAAAGGAAGTCCTGGATACGGCCGTGACATGCGACGTATGTGTATCGTCGTATGACGAACGAAAGTAACTATAATTTATTCAGGAGGCCATTTAGAATATTCGACACTTGCTTCTTTCTCAAATACATTCAGTTTAATTCAATAAAATGCAAAATTATTTAACATTCTATTTACTCCAGGGTCACAAGTCAAAAAAAAATTATGAGACATCAATCCTACTCTCATATTTAAATTTTTCTTCACTAATTTTGTAAGACATAGCAGTATCAGAATCAATGGAATTACAAGGAAAAATTCGAAGAGTTATGAATTTCGTGCTTTTTCTTCAGATTTATTTCCTGGATAATGTTCTTTCCACATGCTACTTATTATCAGTCAAAATATCTCAACGTTGTGCATTATTTCAGTTTAATCCTTCAGTAGATGGCACCAAAATCTAGTGATTTCACATACGCAAGACTATCTTATAAAGAACTTGATAAATTACGTTGAAAAATCAAAATAATCCACATCATTCTGTAGAATGAGATCCATCGAAACAGGATGCTTTCTTTCAGAATTCAACTCTTTCTAAGACTTTCGTTCATATAAGTCAGCGATCGCAGAAGGCTCTGATAAATTGAACACACGACTTCTCTCATGTTACAAAACAATTATGAAAAAATAAGTTTTTGGATAGTAAAATGGCACAGAATTTAACATGTAAATGTTTTAAACCAACTCAGTATTTATACACAGTACCTCCCAAACATCTTCAAGGATATGGACTGATGAAACATTGTTTTGAACATTTTTACGAAGATTGCAATCAGAAAAACCTTTCTTTCCTATCCGACGAATCATTATCATGTTGTTGGAAGCATCTACGAGATAGTATCCCTGTCTCCGAATACAGATTTATAAATATTCCTCACATTAGGAATATCAGTACATACAATTTTTGTGTACGCAGTTTGAAATATGAAGAATGTGATGGATGGAGGGCATTCATTAAACGAAAATAATGGAAGATCGTACGTATCTATTGGTTTGAATAATGTTATGTCATTGTTTCAAGGGTTACATGATTCGTGAATATATGGTAAATCACATTTTATTACATTGATATTGACGTGAACTTGGCATAACCACAACAGGTGAGATATAAAATAATTTATAAAAATAACCTAGAATCTTATGTCACTGACATGATCGAATAATACAACTTACTGAATAATCGAGTATTTCCTACTAATGCTACATGACCCCCCTGGTTTATAAGAAATCGACACCAAACTCCCTAAGTGTTCTACTACTGTATTAGACCCCCCTCAGTTCTGCATCAAAGATTCGACATTTAAGGTGTAAAACATGAAAGTTCGCATTTCGTGGCGTATGTGAGAAACGCCTAGGGCCTTTACGCCAGGTTTCCTATATGGATAAGAGTTGTTTCTGTCATAAATCTACAATGAAACCTTTTTAAACGTTTTGCTAGGCTTCTGGATCGTCCGTCGCTCATAGCTTGGGTTGCCAATGGCTCTGGAAGTCGGGTTCCTGAGAGATGCTATTTTCACTTTTAAACCAATGGTTTTAAAATGCAATATTTTTCTTTTTATTATTAAAAAAATGAATTCCTAACTTAACATATGAGGTTTCATACGGAGAATGTGCGGAAAATATGCTGGGACACATGGAGGGGGGCAGGGAGAGGCCGAGCTGTTTCTTAAGCGGTGTTCTACAAAGTACGTCCCCCGGCGCTATCCCCCTGTGCGCAAGCGTATGTTTGAAAATAATTTCTTTATAATTTTTACGCTCCAGGTTGAATTTAGATAATTATTTTTTGAAATGGATAAGACTTAGTACCTACGATATTAATACTCTTATTCTCTCTTACAGGATTATCTCCGTTACTCTTAAGTGAGGCCATAAAAGTGCTGCATTAACGATGGTTGAATCATTTGAAGGACGCTATAAGATTCTTCCAGTTTTTTACCAAAGACGTAGAGATAATGCTATTTTACAAAGCCACTCTTTGTGCAACAATTTGTCCTTGAGGCAAGAATGGAAAACCTATCAGGAAAGAAATCATGCAGGCCAAATTATGCCAAGCCCGAAATTCCCTTCACCGAATCATGTGCACTTTCACAACAACTGTTTACGCTATTACCCATGTCAAAACGTAAAAGTTCCCAGACAAATAGATTTATGTGTTCAATCTGACGCAGCTATTCCTGCGAATCTACATCGTCAGTTTAGAAATTTCAAACGTACCGAAGTGAAGAAAGCATGTCAAAAACGGAAGAAAAGTGAAGAAAAGCCCAAATTTAAATTTTCCTGTTGTCAGCCTTGCATGAAACACAAAACATGCAAATAAATGTTGATTTTCGATCAGTTATTTTATTGCAGAACAAAGGTACTGTTCGTAGTATTGTTTGATTGGCGCGATAGGGATGATCCCGGCCAAAGAAATAAAGTTTCCTATCATGCACAAGTACCACTCGGGTTCTTTCAGTCCCGGATCTCGCACATCTTTTCTGCTACATTTCTGTTTCTATAAAAGGAAAGGGGTATACATAAGAGGCCTTAAGTAGGAGGGGTCAAGCCAAATCTTACCTAACATACGTGGGGGAGAGAGGGGTCTCTCGGCAAATATCACTTTTTTTTGTTGCTAAAAACAGTGCTAAATTGGGAGAAAACTGCGACAAGTAAAGTGACTATAGTTTTAGTAGTTTCTATACTAAAATATGGCTAAATATGGCACAATAATTTTTATCGCTTTTATGTGACTGCCGCAATAAGTAGCAGAGTATACTGAGGAAAATAATCTAACAAAGATTACCAAACTTTTTATCATTAATGAGATATATCTCAAGGGACCTGGGAAACTGAATAAAACCTGATTGAGATGGGGTCATTGACCTGAAAATTATACTACAATACTTGTTATAGATAGATTAGGATATTATACAGTAGATAATTATTTTTAGTGGCAGATAATTTAACATTTCAAGATGTTATTGTAATGATTCTACTTATAATAATAATAATAATAATAATAATAATAATAATAATAATAATAATAATAATAGTAGTAGTATAATATTCATTGTAATTCAGTACCTCTATTTTCTAAAAATTAGTCATATCTAGTCTTAAATACAATTAAGCAAATTAAGTTTTTAAATAAATCCCAATGCCATCAATCACAAATTAACATATTTTTCAATGAAATATGCATTTTGAAAAATCTCACGTGAGATTAGAAGGGGGGAGGGGGTTGAGCCAAATCTCATGACATCTCACCAAAGAGGGAGGGGGATAAGAAAATCGCCAATATCACATCACGTAATTTATGGACGGCCCAGAGACAACCAACATTGAACATAAAAATCAAACATTTTTTTAATTATATAAATGCATTAGTTTATATTTGTCAATTCTAAAAGATTAAATCTGTCTGTAACTAGTATTGTACTCAGGGTTGATGATTTTCATTTTGATCAGATTTTCGTCCAGCTACCCTTGATTCGTGGAGCAAATGCTAAATCCCTTGTTTTGCTACTCAACTCATCAACCTCGTGGCTCAATGGCAAAGTCGCTTGCCTTTCACCACTGAGATTCCGGGTTTGATCCCTATGGATAAAATCCTCGTAGAACCTCATGTGAAATTTGTTACAACAAAATGAGTTTGCATGCTTCACAGGGGCTAGTCCAACCCGAACACTAATTCCTTCCCAATTCTGGCCACTGAGTTGTGACACAGGGGCATATACATGGGGATGCTACTTGGCGGTCCTCTTGAAAACTGACTGCGACATGACAGATATGACATACGAATTAATAGAGGATTACTCCCGTGCTAATATTAATGGAAGATTACTCCAAAAGTGCAAAGCACTCAATGCCCTGTGGGTATTGATGTTGTTTCATCCGATGAATTAGTACTAAAATTAAATCAGCTGAAAATCTGCTGATATAAAGAGTACAAAATCAATGAGATAAGATTTTTTCTTCTTCTTAAGGAAAACACGATTGTAAAAAATGTTGAAATATCAATGGAAAATTATTTGTGAAATAGGTGAAACATTAAATAATATTTTGCGTTCATGTACTGTTTGTTACAAAATTGTCTATGCTACATTACGACACTTAATTACTTACCTTCTTCGTAAGAATGTGGAATGAGTACTAACAAAAACATGTGTAACACTCTGATATACTTATCTTCAAAGAATTATTTAACTGATCTGAGTATATAATGTGAAAGTCTACTTGAAATATCTCTCTAATAATCTCAGCATCATCTCTTTCTAGCATGAAGATCCCAAAGCCATTGTTCAATTTGTTTTTTCAGCACCACTGAGATGGAATTTTTAATCACAACTTTATTGTCATCTAGGGCCCACTACATCTGTGTATTTAAATGCAATTTAATTCCCAATAATTTATTCATATATCATATAATTCTTACATACAAAGCACAAAATACTGACAATCACTTTCTTCCATCTACAACTATTGTACATTAGTTTATTCCATAAACACATTCATTGGACCCATTACTATTACAGACACTTTCAATTAACACTAGTTATTAGTAGGGAACATAAAATTCCTTTTAAGTATAAGACTATGTTCTCAAAAGGTTGCCTTGATAGATAAAGTATAGTGTGAAACTTAGAACAGCCACATGATATCTTTTTGAGTGCCTATCGAAGCAACATCTATTTCGGGTCTAATGAATATACCATTTAACTTCACGATCTAACCTATCAGGTGCAACCTTTTAATGAGCACTTATCTGACATATTCATCTTCTGTCACTGCATGCAGGCACAAGTTTTGCTATTATTCTAACTCAGCAGTCAAAGAAGTTGTGCACTTATATAAGTGCATTTTAAAAGAAATGTTGAATTACAAGATTTTTAGACATTCTGGAGTAGATAGTAAAAACTACAAAAAATAATACTGAGAAAAACTTGTTAGTTTATAGTAAAATGAGATAATATGTCATTCACAAAAGAATGGTACCACAATATAAGTTTATATTATGTCTCTGATTCTCTCTTAATTTTTCATATTTTTTTAAAAACATGGATAAATAGTAAAATTAAATTGGAAACTTATTTTTGTATTAATCTTAATCAACACATGTATTTTGGAAAAGTCTTCAGTTTATAATTAGATAAAAATATTTAATTTGTAAATCTATGCATTACAATTCATAAATACAATTAAAAGAAAAAATTACACATTTTGTATGCTGCCACAGATCAGTGTAAAATATAATAGTATTATCAAAGAATATTTTAATTATAAATTAAAGGTTCTTTTAGAAAACTGAAGTATTTTTCAATCATTATAATGTAACAATAGACTCATTGAGTAGTTTACATTGAAAACTGTTCTTCGTAACTTCTTTGCACAATACAAAAACAGAAAAAAGAAAATGGTCATAAAGAAATTAAATGGAAAGGAATATTGTGATAGTAAGTTACTTTACATTTGTTTTATATACACATCCAATAATCAGGGTGTCATTTCAGGTGGGAAAGAAAAAGAAAAACTAAAGCGTGTCCCCATAACATTAGAAGTAAATAATTCCTTTTCTGTTTTGTCTTGGAAGAATAAATTTAAGAAAGAAAGTGCATTTTGAAATTTTCTAATTTTGTTGCAGCCTATATCTCATCAGAACTTTATGTCCATTTCCAAGACTTGAGGCACTGTTGAAGACTCAACTAACCATTTGCAAACAGCGAGTGTATTGCAATTCTCACAGACTGATGGTGAGGTTGGGTATGATTACAGGATCATACACAATACAGGGCTGTTGTAATATGCACCCCAATTCTGTCAATTCACAATTTTACATCTTTAGTTGTTTATTTCAGAAACTATAACATTTTTTATTTATCAGTTTTCCTGTTCATATTTGTTCAGCTAACTCATTTCATTTATGCTCAATATTTCATTTATACTGAATATAAAATATATTTTTATTTGTGAATTTATAGTGAAAATTTATGACATAAACAACTAATACTTTGACTGTGGGGGAACCACTACATAAAAGAAAACCCTTTAACTGAAAGAATACCCTTTTTGTACCTAAAATGACTCAAACCTACCTACCTGAAATGATCCTGAATATCGTCAGCTGAAATGACTGACTCTATGTATTACCTAATAAGTATAATAAATAAGTAATAGTGCAAATTATTTTCTGTATTTTTTTTGTTTACCTCCGAATATGTACTCTCTTCTCACATATTGTATTATAATTATAATTATTAATTTTAGAGCAGAGTATGGATTTTTCGTTACTTTGCTGCAACAGTTTAAATGAATTAAGAATATAATAAATTAGCAAACGTAATGACAATGTCAGTGTTGAGTACTGTGATAAATGGAAATGACAACAGATAGGTTCCAGACTTTTGCTCTCTTGAATATGGATTATACAATACAATCCTGAAATCCTACAGCAAAGGAAGGCACTCCTACACACCATTTTAATATTGTAATTATATTTTAGAATGTGTGCAGCAACATTGAGTACAAACGAACAGCAACATCACGACACTGCTTCTCTTCTAATCTTTATTCGATCTTTTAAGTAACTGTTTCAATGGTTGGTCCCGCACAACATTACACTTAAATCCAGCAGTTGTATTTTAACTTGAGATATGTTACTTCAATATAATAATTCATAATTAAAAGAGAAAAAATACAAGGAGAATACTGTTTAAAGCAAAACATTGTTCATTGGGGTGTGAAACAAGATATTATGATAAAATTTTGAGAATTGCATTTAAAAGCCAGCATAAAATAATATTTAATTTTTTTTGTTATTTAGTTATTTAATTCCATTAAGTTTTGCATATACCACACAATTATTGCAGTTTATACTCGAATGCTTCATACCAATTTAATTCCATTCAAAGGAAAAATGAAGTAGATTCTCACAGCCTACACCAATGAACATCCTCGCAGATTTTCCATTTGATATACATGTCAATATAAAGCTTTTGATATTAATGTAAATACATATTCTCTTTTTAATACACCATTATTATCATCATCATTATTATTCATACAAAGTTGTATGATGGTATAAGCTATATCTTGTCACTTCATTCTTATGTAACGCATGCGTTCCATAATGGTGTGCAGAAAATGTAACCCTACTCTCTGAGGCACCTAGTGACCTTAATAAAGTCCATCAGATAAGTACTCAAGAAAGTATTTAATAGACACTACTGGTAATCCATGTACTTACTAGAATGTGGCACTGAATCTGTTTTTGTTATGTTCAATACTGATTATGCATTTTTGCATGAATCAAGTGTCATAACAATAACAAATATTAGGGAAATATTTCTCTAAGTATACAAGGTAAAGACCATGGAAATGCTTTTACAAACTTGTCATTCGGAATACTTGGAACTCACAGCCCTTGTACATGTGAAATACAGTAACCAACCAGTATTATTTTTTGTGACAATTTGTACACAATAAAATAAATCTCATAAACATTATTTGTTAGGTTAATAGGAACATCTTAACATGATTTGTTTGAAAAAATTAGTTACTGTCAGAGGCATACTTGACTTCATCAGCCACTAGTTGGAAGTTGGAAATGAAGCCAAATAGGAAAGCATTTCCTCCTGATCACTATTGTCAACTTTTTCTACTAAGCAATTTCAGTCAAGATATTATTTGTAAATATTCAGACAACAGAGTGCAAAAATCAATAAAGAAGATTTCAATAATCATAATGAAGATTTACTTTTTTTATCACATTTTTAAAGAAAATTGGTTTAGAACACTAGTCCAAGTATTTGAAGTTCTAGAAAGTATTTCTTCTCACTATCCAAATGGTTCATTCTTTCAATGGAGAATGGGTTTGGAGTTCCTTGAGAGGGGATGCTGGCTGTCTCTGTTTAAAACTGGGAAGAGGTGAAGATAATTTCAAAGCAGAAGGGTTTTGACTGTTAGGGATACTTTGACGTGACAAAATGAGTTCCACAGTATGTCCAGCAGATTTCAAAAAATTAAGAGCTTCAGTAAATTTCAAATGCATTAAACTCTGGCCATCCACTGCTATTATGCGATCTCCTGAAATAAAAATAGAAATAAATAGGAACATTGCTTCTCTCCTAATTATTACATGTTCTATTATCAGTGGAGCAACCAGAATTTATCTAGGGGAAGGGCTTTATATGAAATGTCAAATCCACTTTTTTGCTTATAAACAAATTTTCATTTATAGTGAATTTAAATTTGTTTTTATACGTTAATTTTATAGATATGCATCAAGTATTCAACTAAAATATTGAATGACATGTTACAATAGAAAATTAGCAATAACTTTACTTGTAAATGTGATTTATCAGCTTCTGGGGAGACTGAAGCCCCAAAAGCGTGCTGCCTTCCATGACTGGGTGCTTCACTCATATTATATATATTAATTTATTTGAAACCAAATAATAATTTACATTGTAATGTTTCTAAGATGGACCATGGGCAATTAATTACTTAATTGAAGAGAGTTGATAAATTTTTACTAATGACAACATATTTTCCATGAATTTTTGAAATTATATTTTTTGTTCAAATATAAAGGATGAGTCATTTTGGATGGTAAAAAGCACACCACTGTCTTCTCCCAAGTTGGAAGAAAAATTATTCTAATGGCATTTTGCTGCAAATGCTTGGTTTCTGCTTGGCAATTTCTTGACAATTACTCTTCCTCCATAACGTCCAAAAAATTGTGCTTATAGTTAGTCGAAGTGCCAAGGATATTTTTACAAATTGTCAAAGAAACTTGTGGTGCCCCAAAATGGTACACTTTCTTGTAATAGTTTCTTAAAGTCTTAAGTTAGCTTTTCGGTCGTCCTACCCTATCCCCAGCTACTACTATCCGGGGCCAAACAACATTTTACTTTCCCACCTTCTCTTTGTAGGATGAGAAAGTATTGTATTCGTGAGCCAGAAACCAGCGAATTAACGGCATTTACTCTGTATGTACAAAAAAGAAAAATCTACTTTTATTGGATACAAACAAAGATACGGGGTAAATTGAGAAATTGATGGAATAGGAGGTGCAAATTACGGCAATACTGTATCACGCGCGGCCCTGCGATTGCACTTATTCCATCCGCTAAGGCCATCTGAACCCCCAGCTGGCCGTCAGAATTGAAGTGCCGATCACAAATGATGCTATTGACCTCTCGAGTCTATAACTACGCTTCTTGATAATCTGCATAAAGCTTGGGTGATATACAGGCTGCGACAAATAAATTACAATAAAATTTTAAAAAAACAACACCAACAAATAACGCTTTCTACAAGAATTCAAGCATCTGAGGCAAAACGGGTAAAGGATTTAATTGTTAATTATTTGCTAATAATGAGGAACATTATGATGTTTTCCCCATCTAAATGACATCCTGTATTATTTTGCCACTGTTTTAGCAAGTAACAAATGACCCAAGCATATAGAAAATAGTATCAAGTATCAGATAAATGATCAGTTCATTAAGCAGTGCTTGTTTGAAAAAATATCTTATTTGCTCATACACGTAAATTTTTAAATAAATTCTCTTAAATAGTGAATCTCACCTTTTTGAATGTTGTTGCCATGTTGCAAACAGCATCGCACATAAACACCCCCATCATTTCCACACTCAACTTGAAGTCCAAGACTGCCTCCAACATCTCGTTCTATTCTGAATTTAAACATTTGAAGAAGTGTATTATTTAATTAAATCAATGTCTGTAACTATTTGTATAAGAAGTTTGTTTTTTGGTATCACAAATACACGTAATTATTTCATTTATATGATACAATGTTTCAAGTTTGAGAAACAACTTACCTTACAGTAGATAATAAGCGTTCATCAACAAATGATATTTCCTCAAATTTTTCAATTAGTGATTCAGTCAAGGTTTCTTGCAACACATTGAATTTCTCGTTAGCTGATATTGCACTCGACCCTATATAATAAAAATAACACAATAATAACAAGAATGAAGACAAAATTAACATATGAATGTACATAGTTTATAGTTTCACTCTTATAAAATCACAATATATTTTTGCCCCACGTTGGGCATGCCATTATAATAGTACATATCACCTTTCTCTTACTAAATCAACTATATTTTACCCCATATTATTTATTATTCAAGTTAATGGAGTGACTAGCTCTAATTTTTATCAAGGTTTTGGGTGTTTGCATACTTACTTTATCTCAGGGTATTGTCTTTCTTCTCATGAGATAGTAAGCATCGCTCATACAGGTATTCGAATGGCGGTAATTTAAATTGGTATGAAATTATCAGTGACATAAAGTGTCAGCTGCAGAATTAATTTATATCAATATTCTATTTGTTTTTAAAATTTGACAATATCTCATTATATTTTCTCTTCTGCTCCCTTACTTTGATGGTCATTGAATATCTATTTTAAAAAAATGAAAATTCTTTTTCTAACTTAATATTGTAACTTATAATTAAACTTGTTTCACCCCTGCTAAATTGTTTATAAAGTCTTTTTGCAACCTATCCTCTAATCTTTCCTTTGCAAAGATATTTCAGCAATTTTGGCATTGTGACAAAATCAATGACTATTCCATAATTCCATACTGGAGCTCTTCTTATTACCACATTGAATTTACTTTATAAGTTTTTTTTAATTGTCCAAAATTTATTTAGTCAATATAATATTTCCATTTCCTGCGGGCTTGTATTCCTGATGACTCATTTTAATGTGTATCTTTACGTAATTCCTATATTTCACCTGTTATTTGGCATTAAGGTTTTTGCTTTTTGAATACAAAAATCCTCAAAGGTATTTTGTATTTCCTCAGAACTTAAAAAAAATATAACAATAATCTGCATTATTTTAGGTGTGTAATGCTAGTAGTTCTTTTATACTTTTTCTTTCATAGATTCAATTTCACAAAACAGTGCCTCAAATCAATACAAAATTTTAAAACATAAATTTTTTGACACAATAGGAAACCAAAATTTGTGTAAATAATTGATTTCTTTCACTCTGCAAAGATGGATTTGATTCTCTATTTCATATAAACTGAACTTTTTCTTTTTAACAGTTTAAAAACAAATTCAGCTTTCAACACTATTCTGGATTTAAGACCTTCAGAATTACTTTGGATTTGTCCATTCTAAATTTTTACAGTTAATTTGGCTTTATGAAAACATTATACAGAGTGTCCGGGAAGGAAATGTTGAAACTTTGATAATAAGCTCTTATGACAATTTTAAGCAAATTTTTTTCTATTAAAAAATGTGGATATTCCGAATGGCTGATCTGCAATATGCACTCAAAACTTGTTTTGAAAAAAATATTTCTAGGCAAAAGTTTGCATTATAAAGGCATAGAAACACTGCAGAAACATGCAAATTGTTTATTATTTATAAAAGAAATTAATATATTTGTTTAGAAAGAAAATTTAAGCGAGAAATAAAAAAGTAGTTGAATTGTATAAATTGAGTGATCTTTTATTTCTGGGCAATTTATAATCTGTTATTTACATTTGCATTATTATTTACATTAAAAACATTTTCAATGAACACATAGAAATGTAACTACTATTCACAATAAGTGAAAATTATGAACAACTTACTTAGTACAAAAGCTTCTTGTATAATAGGAGATGCAAGGCCTTCTGTTTCATGGTCAACCCTGATAAAATGAGAAGACAAATACAAAATACATTCATCAAATGAGCTTCCAAGATGAGATATACTATTAATAATCCCACCTGTAGTTTTCAGGAGTTATTTCTGATGATGAAGCAATTTTATGAAACATATTGTTTTCTTTGCAGGAATCTTCCTCATATAAATGCATTCTTTTATTATCGTTACTTCTATTTTCAATAGTTTCCTGTGTGTAATTCATTACTTCCAATTCTAAAACACAGAAATACAATTTAGAAAACCATTTTTTTCTTTACTAAATTTGCTTTGTTGTAACCAAATATTAAATGTATTTAAATATGCTCACCAAGTGATGGTAGAATTGTAGTTAGATGATTTTGTAATTTCAGATACATCTGATGATGAATGGAAGCCAAGTGAAATAAAAACATACTTCTGAAACAAAAGAGTAAGGATTTTGAAATATACTTTCATAAAAATAAATTCTAATACATCACATAGCAAGTACAGGATAGAAAACTTAACATGTTTCAATCTGTATTTGAAATTTTAATCTGAATTTGATGTAGATGGTTTGGATGATGTAGATGGATAATGATGGTGCAAGGAACTTGCACGACGTGAAAATAATGCTGAAGAAACTATTTTTGCTATTATAATAATATAAACTTTGTTAAAAAAACAGAACTGTATTCTTTTCTGTTCTCTATAAAAAAAAGCCTCCAAGTTATAACAATATTGCACTAGAACTAATTTTGAATTTTCCAACAGCACATGTTTCCTTGCATTTTTTTTTCTTTTGAAATTTTTGAAAATTCAGAGAGTTGAAATAAGACGAGATCTGCACCTTTCTCTTAAGTGATCCTTGATCTACTCATGGAAAAAAATAAATAAAGAAAACATTGGGAGCTGTTTTTGAGAAAATGTTGTTTTTTTTATAATTTGCATTTAAGCAGTAATTACACAAAAACTACTTAAAAAATAATTGTACATGATCTTTTTGAAAGATATGATATTTTAGAAAATGTTGTGACTTTTATGAGAATTATTCCCCAAAATCAAAATATCCGTTTCAAACTCGCAGGGTTCGAGTTCGTCTAGATCGATAGAGGATTATCAATTTCGGGCAAAATCGTCTGGATGATTTAGTCACTATCGTTGTCCTCAGAGAGACAAACGGACGACGGACGGATAGGAAAGGCGGGCGGGCGGGAATACATTACGTACATGGCACGGGCCTCCCGGAAGCGATAGACTGCCCCCCCCCTCTACCAATCCAAGTCGTGTTCTGGACATCTCGATAAACATTAAGGTTGAAAAACGCTATCTGTGAAGAGGAGGGGGAGATCGGTCAAATAATTCGAGAACTGCATATTACGAATAATTCGACACAGACCTTCTCTGAATTCAATAGAGTACACATGCCAAAAGCATACTAGAGACCTTTAAGACTGGTACAGGGGGTAAGAAGATACACGGAGTTTACATCAAAATCAGTGAAAAAACTTTAAAAAGTACCACTTTAACCCCAGGTTCGGGAGCTAGGACAGTGAGGTAAGGCATTATGCCGGTCGCTTTGTCTCCAGTCCCCCTACACATGCTTTCTCTCATCCCTAAATAATCCAGGGGAAAAATTGGTGGGTAAATAAATAGGCAATAACTGTACAATCGTTTAACTTTACTTAACCTACGGTTGAGGACTTAAGATTGACTTGGGGACGGGGAAGCGAGGATGACACCTGGGTTAGTAACCACTCTACCTTGCTACTGTGCATTATTCAAGCATACTTTGCTACATCAATGTTCACGAAATCTGGCCGCGACAGAACGTATACCTGGCAAAAAGGAATGTAGGATGAGTTGCTTACGAAACGGAGGCAAATTTCACATGCGTAATTTTGTTATATGAGATTTTCCCATCATATTTTCATTGGCAAAAAGGAATTATCATTAACTAAGTACAAGTCCTAGAACCGGAATTCCCAACCCTTTTCTTGCATCGACTACTTTTAGAAGAATGGTTTGCTTCATTAACCCTTACACTTTTATCTCATTTATTATTCCTGAAAGTTCATGAAATCTCCTTGACAGGGTCAAAATGTGACCTGCCGATCATCTGTGCACAAGAAGTTGGCTAACAATCAGTGACAAATATCACTTGTGTAACTGCGTTGAATGAAATTTACCTCTACTTGTTTACTGATAAAAAGTAGCTATTTTTGACTAATGTAGTATCCTACAAGTTTGTAGCATTTATTCGTACCTCGTACAGCACGCGGAGACGCTATATTCGTAACGGTTTCTGATCATTGTACTCGTAGTACTTCGGTTACAAAATGCAGTATATGTAGAGCGTTTTTAAGATCTGGCTATTACATTTCTGCTAACCGTAGCAGATATTTTCTTGCCGGATAGAGCAACGTTATGAATATGTAGTTAAAATTTATTTTTTTTTCTAAATAACCTACGATGAATGACGAAAACGAAAGAAGCAGAGACAACTTGTAATTTATTATTTTGGTGTTCTACAGCTTTATAACACACAATCACTAATCACCAACATAACTGATATTTATTGTATTCAATGAGATCTTGATCATATTAATTAGTCGCCCGTTCATATTCGGCTCTAGACCCCCTAATCGACCTTAGTCGACCCCCTTTCAAAATTTCATCGATCCCCAAAGGATTGACACTGACCCTGTGACGAGTTTCTGTTCTAGAAGCTTGTAACATTTATTCTGAGATATACATGCGTAAAATAAGCTTACTGTTTGACAAGTACTACAAAAAGCCTTCACCCGGGGGCGCGCAGCGATCGTAACTCACTTCTTGTGCGGAAGGTAGAACTTGAGCTTGCGCAGGCGAGCCGCGGGGGCGGCGCTGGACCCCTGCAGGCAGGCCGCCACACGGAAGGCGCGCGCGCCGTGGCGCAGCCTGCGCACGCAGGGCCACGGCAGGCGCAGCAGCTCGGAGGGCGCGCCGGCGCCCGCGCTGGCCCCGGTCCCCGCGGCGGCGTCGGCGTCGGCGTCGGCGGCGGCGCTCAGCACGGCGAGGGCGTCGGCCGACACGGCCAGCGACACGGCCCGCGGCCCGCAGCCCGCGGCGCTCTGCACCTGCGCCCGCCCAACACACAACGCTCTTCAACGCGCTTGATCCGAGCACATGCTTACGGACTGATTGGTTAGCATTTACTGGTGCGTCAACTATTAAGGTCATAGGTCCCGTACGTGTAGTCAATGTTTCCTCTCCCCTCGGGAGGTGGCGGTGGACGGCGAGATCCGGAGCCCACCTACACGGGTTTTCCCCAACCAGGTATTTCCCACCAGCGTTGCAACAATCTCTGAGTTCCCAAATGGCCACCGCCATGCTCGGACACATGCGGTGTATGTGAAAAGTGTGTAAGTAAGGGGTGAGGATATGACAAGTTACACATACAATCAAACAACACATTGAACACAACACACATCCAATACCCATCTCGTCAGAACATTTTTTTCTTAATAATAAACCCCTAAAAACCTCAAAGACAACATTTCTCAATACTATTGCTATAACTAGAAGCTGACAAAGGTAACTCCATAGCGATCTTGAATAAGGAAGATTACAACAACAAAGTACACGATTTTATCAACGGCAACAAAGGTATCTCACTCCAAAACTAGTGGTGCTGCAACGCACATACTTTCTCGCATTGTTGCTAAATGCTCCGCAACATTTTACTACAACATAAACCAACACACGTGTTTTCAAGCAGCAAATTATTTTTTTGCTCCGAGACCCGAACTCGGATCCTCAGAGCTAACGTGCCAGCACTCATACCATTCAGCCACAGAAGCGCCGCATGGATTGAACTCAAAGGCATAAAAAGATAAATGGCCGAATCATGTAAAAAACCCTGCAACAATCAAAATATCTGTTAGAAACTCCCAATGCCACGAGTTCATTCAGATTGATTGAGGAATATTAATTTTGAAGAAAATCAGCTCAAACGGTTTAGGTGCTAGTGTTGACCACAGACCGACAGACAAACGGATAGACGAACGTTTTGCCGTCAATCGATGTTTCGGTATCAAGAACCAACAAAACATGGATTCTGGCTACACCTAGTTACAGGATTTATTTCTAAATTTAGCAACAGGATTTATCCACTTTTTTGTTACCACCGCCTGGCAATAGTTTTTCTGGGCAAAATCCTCCGTTTTCTGAGGATTACGTCGCTTTCTCTTCTTACGAAGAAAGGGGAGAAAGTAATAATAATTTCGGAACAATTAGGGATATCTAAGTTGACCCCTTGGATACTGGTTATATTCTATTTAAATTTAATGTTGATATATTCATTATTTTATTTAAATCGGTTCTTACATATGTACAGAAAGACGAACAATTGATTTGATTGTACTTACGTTTTACGAATCTAACAAGAGATATGAAATTTTTTTAAAAGTTGAAAAATTTGAAAATCACATACATACACTTCCAGTTTATTTATCTTAATTCTATTTGTAAACAGAACTGCTTCAAATGGTTATCAATAAATTTTCTGAAATTCTCAATTACTTTCGGCGGCAACAGAGAATTGTGATAAATAACAGACTCGAACACTCGAGACGAGGCTCGAACCAACGAACTTATCCTCTGAAAAGCTGAGTCCGCACCCGCCAATTAGCCACCTCGGCCACCCGGATAGTACGTGGAATTTACACTTATATTAAGTGTATGGTGGTTTCAGTTCTAGAATTAGGATGCCGAAAAATGAAGAAAATGTGAAAAAATGTACTTTGGGCGGCGATAGATGACAGCTGGCAAGAGCATGCACCAAGTTCATGTAGCTAGCCGAGACCAAAGGAAATAGAAAACTAATACGGGAAAGTCTGTGCCATTTTGTAGCACCACTAGTTGTTCTTTCCGATGTTGTCATCACATATTCGAACTTATTTTGCAATGTGTGTTTGAATGTAAAAAACGTGCAGTAGCAAGCAATCCTGACACCACTTTTTAAGCATTTAAGGAAAGTTGAGAAAGAGTACTTTTATAAAAGTGACGAACTAAAGATACATCTTGCCGGGGCGATGCATCGAACTCGATGGATGGCAAGAGCTGTTTAAAAATGTTTCTGCTAAGATTAGGACCTACACTATCTAGTGCAATTAAAAATTCACTAAAAAAGTATCTATGTTGATTGCAAATGTTTATTTGAAACCATGGCTTTAGTGCCGTGCAGCTGTAAAAGCTTCTGATCAAGATATCCGCTATTTAAAAGTTTTAAAATTGCATGAAAGAATAGATTCCATAATTTCAAATGCAGCTTTAAAAGAAATGGACACAGTATGTAATGTTTATTAGAAGAATTGTCTGTCGTCACTCTTTAATGATAAAGTTGACGTATAAATCAGTATGAAAATAGTAGCAAATGTAGCCTGAGGGAATCTACACATAGAAGTGATTTTTTTTGAAGAGTTGTTTGGAGAATAATAGGGTAAACGCAATTGCATCCTAACGACCGTTCTGCAATTATTAATTCGTTAATATACAATACATCTCCTAATTCAATTTAATATTCATTTCAATGAAAACAATAGCCTACTTTGTGACAACCAAAAGCAGATGCTGATCGCTTGCCAGAAGATAGTTTTATTCCAGAATGTCCTTTTTGTTATTAAAAAAAATGTTGCGTCTTCAATTGACGCAACGCGTTCTCAAGCTCCGGGGCGCGTTGAGCGCTTTGCGCTTTCGGAGTAATCCTCCGTTAATACAGCGCGGGAGTAATCCTCCATTATAAGTATGTCATATCTGTCACGCCTCGTCGCAGTCAGTTGTCAAGAGAACCGCCAAGTAGCATCTCCGCGTACGCGCCCCTGCGTCACTACTCAGCGGCCAGAATTTGTAAGGAATTAGGATTGGGGTAAGGTTAAGGACATTTCACAGGGGTTGGACTAGCCCCTGTGAAGCATGCAAATTCATTTCGTCCTAACAAATTTCTCATGACGCTAGGTCGCTGTAGAACGGACTGCCACTGTCTGGAGGCAATGAAGTGTTCTACCCCTTTCGATTTGTCAGCTTTTGACATGTTTGAACAAACCCCGAGGCGTAAGGTATTATTATAGTTGTCAGCACAGATTCTAATGAATAATTGTAACAGCGACCTAAGGCTTAAAATGGGACGTCAAATAAAGGACTAGAAAGGGATTTGAATGCGTTTAGTACAAAGCGAGTGCTTATTTACTTGCATTCGAAAGGCGAGATTTGATTGGAACCCGATACAGAGAGAATCGCGTTCCCGTGCCCCGTAGGTAGAAAGAAAAATTAATGAACAGAGTGTCGGGCGTAGTGCCTTGGCAATTCGAAGAAGAAGAAGAAGAAAAAGAAGAAGAAGAAGAAAACAACAGAAAGGATCCTTGTATGAACGCGTGACACGAAAATGCGATTTCTGAGCGACACGATAATTCCATTTTTTAGCGTGTCCAATACGAGAGAGGGAAGTCAAAATAAAAAATAAGATAAATAATGTAAGAAAAACAATAAATTAAGATATAATTACCACAGTATGTATTTCTTCGCGAATTTGTGACTCGACAATTCAAAACTTGTTGGCGGGGCGATTGGAAAGAGAAAATCTTAAAAACTCAAAAGAATAAGGTAGGTTTGTGGTCGATGCATTAAGGCACCACTAAAAAGCCAGGCCGTATTGCTGCGCGAGACGAATGAAGAGAAGAGTCGCCAACATGAACAAAGAGTAAAAAAGGAACGAATCCAGTAGCTATGAACCAATATAGCTTGGCACATCACATTTTTACAAATGTCAATTGCATATACAAACGCTTGCAAGACCGCCTTCTTCAATTGAGGCCAAGCATGATGCTGTAATCATTAAAAACAACAGTCTTGCCAGTTTTAGCATCTACGAACACTTTCATAGAAGTCGAGCAATACAGCTGTCAAAAAAGACCCTCTGAGGCGAACCATTCTTCTGCCAGTGCTTAGAGAACTAGACAGATTTGGTAGGCTCTTCGTCGCGCATGCGAATGATGGTAGATTAATGGCTTTTTAATAGCCAGCTCAAAGTCCCTGTAATAGTAGTTCCGACACTTTATGTCATTCCGTAATGGATCTACATATTGATGATAAGCTTTGCTGAGAGATCAGATAGGAGGATACAATGAAATTTTCGGTGCCTGTTGAACTTGTATATGTGCGTGTGTATAGATAAGCGCGTTTTTGTTACTATTACATATTCTGTCATGTTAAGGTAATTTTAGCCAAGAAATTCCGAATAATGTTCAATTGCCTTTTCACCGTGTGATGAGGACGAGGTATCGAGATATTCTGCTTTGATTCTTGATCGAAAGCCAGTGTGTTCAAAGAATGTCCATATATTAAATGATTTGGAGTCATATGAAGGTTTTGGTATCTTTCTCAGAGCATGTATGCTCTGAGCATCGTGAGTTTAACATATGTTCTATCTGTGTCAACAAAGTATGGAATTCAGAAAGTGAAATATAATTTTTCCCAAGAGAGCGTTTGAAATGGCATTTTAAGGAGCATGCAGCCACCTCTGCCAGTCCATTACGAAATGAAGAGCGCGGTGGGCAGAACTGCCATTCTATTCCATATACAGCGAGGAAAGTTTTGAGAATCGAGTGTTCCTGCAGTGTGCTAGCAATCTTTGATAGCTTAGCCAACTGGCTCTTCGCTTTTACAAATGGTTTCGTATTATCGCTACAAATGATTCAGGGGTAACCCCTGCGGGACCCGAATCTTTTTTAGAGACGTTATAAATTAATTTGTGGTTAAGATTTCCACTTTGTCGAGGTAAACAGCTTTAGAAGCATGACATATAAATACGACGTGCCCTACATCTACCAAAGACTGGTTTTGTTAGGAATGGTCCGCAGTATTTCACTGAGGTAAACTTTCACGGTTTCGACTGCGTAATTCTTGAAACAGGAAAGACACCATTACTTGGGAGGCCGGCTTTGCCCGCCATCTAATGCAAGCTAAGCAATAACTCACGACCCTTGGATGCATGCTCTGAGAAAGG